CCTCGTGCATACGCCATTACGTAATTACAATTTAGTTGGAGAAAATAAAAATCGGACGCCAAGGGAAAGAAATTTGAGACGTTGAGACGCAATCTTAAAAATTCTCAGGGAATATAAAACCGAATTGACGGTCCGCCCGAAGCGTTGTTAGCAAAGTAGATACAAAAGAGAAAGATAGGAACTGGTTTGCGGTCACTCGGTTTGAAATCGCGACGCGAGGGAGCGCGCTTCGTCGGCTTTGAAAGGAGAACGCAGTACACGTTAAATTCAGTATAATATATTTTCCATATAATATAATAATTCTCGCTATACAGACATTATTTTACAAAGCATGATTTTCGTATATTCTAAGTACTTGCTGCTGCGTTACTTAACTACTAAACGCGCCCGTGCGGCGTGTTCCCGGCGACACGCGCCTGTCCGCGCGTGCCGCGGACCGGGAGACCCTCTCGCACGTTGTACAGCCTAATTTTATACATTCATAATACTGGTATGTCCTTATCGAACGCGCCGCGTGTCGCGCACGTCGAGATATCGCGACGCCCCGCGGCTCCCGCCGGCGGGAAAGCGACGAGTCGCGCGACGCTCCGATCTCTTGCGGGCGCGACCCACGTTCCGCTACGTATACTGAAATCTGAAAAATACTTTGAAATATCTTCGCGTATCTTGGCTCGAGCCCTACGGTACTTCCCTCCGCCCCCCCTTCGCGCGTTTTCACCCCGTAGAAGCCCCCTCGTGTATTTACAACGTTCTCCGTCTACGCGCGCGGGGATGTTACATCCGTTATATTTACAGTGGATGGCGCAGCTCGTCTTTACAAGACCGAAGTTGAAGGGTCGCCCGTGTCGAACGAACCGACTGCGAGAATTTCGCGGGCGAAAACCGTTCGATCGGTATAAAACTAAAGTTTTCCCGTAAGGATTATTTAGCATTTCCGTTTCTCCTCTCTCTCTCTCTCTCAGACCGACGTGAGAATCGTCATCTAATTAGGTAGTTTGCTTCTCAGATACCGTGTTCTCCACTCGTTAATCTGCTATCCGTTCGTGTCCAGTCGCATCACAGTTTCTAGATAATACCAGCCATTTGCGGCCCAAGTTTCGGTATAATTCCGGCCTTAGTAGAATGGAAACGTTTCGCGCAATTGTTTCGCGGAGCAACGTGTAATCATCGTTTGACGCAAACGTCGCAGCTCGCAGCGTCATCGTCGTTTATCGTGCGAATCGCGTATCACCGTGTCGTTTAACGACAACAAGGACTCATACCAGCGGCACGACGGGGATCCCTCTGCCGCGCGTAATTCGCATTTAACTCTCGCGGACGGCCGACGCTCGTTACGCCGGTCAAACTGTCGATTTCGTTCCCCTGGGAAAGAAGAGAATACCGCGAGTCCGCCCCCGTTGTCGCTCGCAAATTACCGGTCGCCGGTGTCGTGCAATTTTCGGGACCGTCACCGTCCCTTGGATCTCGTCGATATTAATTAAGCGGGGCCAATTCGTCCTTGCCGGGCAAAGTGCCGGTTTCGCCTGCGCAGACACGAGAATGCCGGTTATTTGAATAGTCGAGGGGCCCCCTTCCCCTCCCTCGCCCCCCGCGTTCGATGCCCCGATGCCGCCCCCTCCTGCACGGTCCTCTTTTGTCGTTTTTGCGGCGACCGCGTGTAATTTCGTGTCATTTTAGACTTCTTCCCCCCGCGGCCAGGTTCCCCCCCTAATGTCATATTAATTGTACATTCGCGTTCGCCCGCGATTGGCCCGTTTCCTGGCGCGACCGTAACCGTTCTCGAAACACACGAAACCGCCCGATCGAGGCCGGGTTCCCTAATCGGCATGATTTTTTTCGTGTCGCCGCTACACGAACGGATCGCGATCGGCCTGTGACCGCGACGAGTCGGACGCACGTGCTGAATTGCGAAAGGCAAACCTCGATGATGAACGCCGATCGGTTTCCTCGTGGACGAGAGCGAGCCGTTTAATTATCGGCGCGAGAATCGACAGAATTTTATGAAAAACTTTCGTTAAAAGAATTAAATATGAACCTTTGGCACAGCGAAATAGTTACTTGTTGATGGTGCGACCGGTATTCGCCCCGTAAACCCCGTGCTCTAACGAGGAAACCGCATCGACGGGCGTTTGAAAAAACGCGCACGTAGCTACGTCGCGATGAAGAGATAATTTAAATATTAAAGAGACTTCGGGGCAAAATTAATCAATACGTCCGAATTAAATAATTATCGCGGTGTAATTACCGACAATTGTGACGGAAATAAAACTCGCGAAGGCGAATAATTCGGTTTCGCAAATGATAAAAGTGCTGGGAAACAAGTGCCCCCCAAACGGCGGACCGAAGGAGCGGAAAATGAAATAACGAATGGACAATGAACGAGTAATAATGAGTCTCCATTTGCGTCCGAGGGATAACGTTTCGGCGGGGCGCGGGATTTTTACTTTCGTCCGCTCTCCGCACGCCGATCGTATCAACGTTGAATATATTGTTTCACCGTAACCCGCCATTCACTGAACGCTCAAATCACCAAGTTCGGTTAACCGCACGATATTTCCTGTTCGCTCTCATTATCTACAAAATCCCGGACGTCCCGTGCTATGTCACTTCCTGTTCTACCTCACGAAATCGGCCGCCGTGCCGTTTCGCTCGCATCTCATTTCGCCGGCTTCGCTCTAGTCCTCGCGAATCCCGCTTCTCCTCGCCGCGCCTTCGGCAGATTTTAAGGTGGCAGCGCGAAATAATCTCCGCGTCTCTCCCCCTCGAGGCTCACGTTACACCTCGATGTGCAGAGCTCTTCGAGCAGTCTCGTCGGCCGGCTGCGTTCGCTCCTTTGTATTTCGCGGTAGCTGCACAGATCGCTGCAAGTCCTCCAAGATGTATATACAGTCTGCTTCTTCGACGATCACGTAAACGTTATCGATCGATCACCCAACAATTTCTCCACGCGGGAATCGATTTGTTTATTTATCAACTGTTAACGCAATAGCTGCTGAAATTTGAGCGACTTCGTTATCGGAATTGACTGATTAATGCTAGCTAAGTGAATTTGATTTTAATTATCCGTGTCAGCTTCTCGTAATGAGCCATCGCGTCGGTACTTTCCAGTTTGCCCGTGTATTTAGCTGCCCGATTCACACATTTTCAGAGCGTTTCGGAAGAGGGAACACGTTCCCTTCGGCAGTTTTCTGCGATTTCTGACGTCAGCAGCCCCTCTATTCATTTACTCCGTATTCTCGACACGCCGTAAGGAAATCACTCCATTTCGCATGGTACACCGCTTCCTAATTATCCCGCAGGACACGCTTGGCTTCCTTCTCGTACAAAACTGCCGATGTGCCGTCGCCAGGAGTCTCCATGTCCTAGATATCATGTATGCTCTCCTCGTCGCTGTCAGCCCTCACACTCCGAGGACTGTCCTCCCTCTGCACCGGCGACCTGTCCCGGCTCTGACTTCTGTCGGAACGCTGCCGGGTTCGATTCATACTTTCCCGCCCGTCCACTATCTCCGGACTGTCCCTGTAATAATTGTTCAGGCTCGGCAAGTTGGAGCCAGTCGCGAGGGGTCCGAGAGAGTTGCTGGGGCCCGCTTGGATCATCGAGGGATAAGACCGGACGTCCTTCCTCAGGGGCGATCTGTCCCTGGAGTCCGGGCTCTTGCTGCCCCTCTCCTGCTTCCTCGACCTGTCCATATTCTCCCTTCCCTCCATCAACTCCGGGCTGCCTCTGTAGTAGTTATTCATGTTGGAGAGATTGGAGGTTGTCAGGGTGCCGAGGGGATTACTAGGACCCGCCTGCATCATCTGCAGCGGATACAGTCTCGCTGGTTTTCTGGTTGGCGACCTGTCCCTCGACTCCGGGCTCTTGCTGCTGTCCCTCTTCCTCGAGGACTCCCGGCCATCGGTCATCTCCGGGCTGTCCCTGTAGTAGTTGCTGAGGGTCGACAGACTGGAGCTCGCAGTCAAGGAGCCGAGGGGGTTGCTCGGCCCCGCCAGGATCATGGGCGGGTACAGGCGGTAGGGAAGCGGCTTCTGCAGAGTCGCCGCCGCCGACGATGGCTGATAGAAGAATCCGTTGGTGGGTAACGCGTGCGCGCTGGGATACTGCCACGCGTAACGTCCCGCGGCGGGATGCGCGGGGATAGTCGCGGTGCTGCCGCTGTACAGATGCTGGAAGGCGGCGACGGCGAAATTGTTTTCGGCCATGATCTCGAAACCCACGATCGTTTGTCGCTTCCATTTCGTTCTGAAAGTACAAAAGGAGGTGTGCACGTGAGTAACAATGGTTCCGCGCGGTAGCTCTTGCGATTCATTTGCGCCAAAGTCCTCGTTTAAGGATCGACGTGAGGACTTCCTTAAAATAGAGACGACTAATGCGTATGGATGTGGCGCATAATTTCTACACGGAGAGAATTCTCTCTGAAAATTTATCCTGAAAATCGTGTAATCGTGGGACAACGTGGCGTTTTGAAGAACTTTGTGAAAGTTGTAGTAAAATGTATGGTTAAATTTGAGAAAACTCATAAAATTCTTCAAAATTACATTTTGTTAGTAAAATGTAAGGTATAATTTCAAGAAGCTCACAAAGTTCTTCAAAATACTACGTTGTCCCACGATCGCGTGATTTTCAAGCAAAATTTTAAGAAAAAATTCTCTCCATGTATATGGTAAAATTTAAAAAACTCACAAAAGTTTTCAAAATGCCACATTGTCCCACGATTACATAATTTTCGAGGTAAATTTTAAAAGAAAATTCTCTCCGTGTATGGTAAAATTTCAAAAACTCACAAAGTTCTTCAAATTGCCACGTTGTCCCACGATCACGCGAGTTTCAGGCTAAATTAAAAAAATAATTCTCTCCGTGTGTGGTAAAGTTTAAAAAAAACTCGCAAAGTTCTCTTCAAAATGCCACGTTGTCCCACAATCACGTGATTATCAGGGCAAATGTTAAGAGAAAATTCTGTCCGTGCATTTTAAACACAATCTAATAAAATTGATATTACGCTACAGAAATATAGCAATCATACAATGTGAAAATTGGAATTATACGACAATAGGCAAACATGTAGACAGAATAAGTCACGAACATTGGTATATTTGAATTGATCCAGCACATGTTCCCCGCGTATGCAGGACAGACGCACGTCGGTACTAAAAAGGAATCATAAAATCCACTGACTCGTTTAGTAGTTTGATGAAGGCTATACGTTGGTAATGACCAGCGATAAAAAAAAACGGCTCGACTATTCAACATATTTACGTCGGGGCGATCGTTATTCTTACGTATAACGTAATATCGGCAAAATGGATCTAAGTTCGGCCTACCAATGTCAAACGGCGGGCCCGCGCGAGCCGCGCGATATCGCGATACGAGCCTGATCGCCGGAAGCACGTGCGAGCATAGCGTAGTTCCATGGTAGTTTTCCAGATTCTAACGGCGACCGATAAGATCCGTTCCAAGTATTCAAGCTGCGTTCGTTCCTTCGTTCGTAGCCGCCAAGTTTCGCCGGCATTAAGGATCGACTTGGTGGCTTTCGAGGCCACCGCCACCCGAAGCAATCACGGGCTTTCTGCAATTTCTCCCTGGGACCGACCCCTCCCCCACCCTCGCTAGCGGCCCTCCTCGCCCTCCTCACGTATGTAAATCTCGATCTGGGACAATTACGCTAAAACGGGGTGGCGTGCCGCCAAGTGGTTACGTTGGCCACACTACCGGGAGCTTATTATACTAACAAATAGCCCGTGGAGTTTCAGTGCCTAATCATCGCGTATCATGGCACGCACACACATGCACGCACACATACACGTGCGTATACATATAGATATATAGATATATATATATGCACGTTACAGATACATGTACCTGAACCGCACCTGCGAACGTAAAAGCGCCCTTAGACGCGCGCGAGACAGAGATATATCAACAGGCCGTGGGCTGGAGGGGTTGATACCGTGTAACGGGAACGAAATGAACGTCATGGAACACGAAGGGAGACACGAGGCGAAATTCCTCGCCGAAGGCCGGCCGTATTAGCCGAACATTATTGCTCGGTAACGCTGCAAATCATACCGCGAAAATGACGATACTTTCCACGGAATCGAGACGCGAATTACATTCGCGCGATCGGCCGTACAGTGAAAAAGATTACGTCCAACGGCATCCTCGAATAGCGTGCCTGGGGCGCGTACATACGCGGGTTGGATAATAAAAATGGAGTAACGTGTGTATGCGCTGGAAAAATGGGATAGAAAGAAAATTATATACGTCGTGTAAGCATACGGAGAGAGAAATGTTTGTTACTTTTACTGTTGACTTGTAGAGCCAACCTTTAAGAATAAGCGAGACACGAGCAATTAAAGTGAAGCTGAAATAAATGCAAACATTTACATTTACTTGAAATATTATAATCGCGGAAGCTGCGCTTGCATCTTATTCGTTTATACGTATTTCAAATTAATAACAAGAACTCCCTCTCTCTCTCTCGCTCCCTTTAGTTTTTAAAGAAACAGACGCATCGTGTTGTGTTTTAAAAAGAATTTGGAAGTAAATACGAAATTTTATGCACGAAAATAAAAATAATTTTTATGACACGTTTTCGTAAGTGAAATATTATAAGTAACATTTTCCAGCCTTTGCTGATGCCTGAGGTTTACGAGGACAAAAGAAGGAGAGCGTGAGATCCGAAAGGTATCGACGTTTCACGAATTATCGAACTGGTAACCTTGTAATTACGTACAATAATCGAAAACGTTACGAACTTCTTTTTTCGTTTGATAAACACGATACGAGAGCGCGTGCTCACGCGATTAGGGGGACTCGCCCTTCGTAAGAGAAATATATTAAAGTGCCGCGTCAAGCGGCTTAATATGAAATGAGGCGGATAAGACAGAGAAAAATGTACGTAAAGAGAAAACGACTGTGAAGGGCTATTATATTACATGAACCAACCTGCCATAACGTTCATGAATAATATCAAGAAAATTACAACCCTTCCGTGGCAGCGAGGCGTGAATTACATCCGACAGTCTTGCTCGATAAGTGCAAGTAGTTTTTGCCACCCCCGTTACTGTCGCCCTTCGAAAAAAAAATAGATATATATGTACGAGTATACGTATATGCTTTCCTTGTCGGTCCCTCGTAATCCAACCGTAATTACGATATACAGGTGTTTTATCGCGCGATTGTCAATCGATGCAAGAATCTTTGAATATTAGTGAACGGTTTCTTGCGTGATTATATTCGCATGGAGAGAATTTTTTAATTTATCCTGAAAATCATGTAATCGTGGGACAACGTGACATTTTGAAGAATTTTGCGAGAGTGTTTTGAAATTTTTACCATACACGGAGAGAATTTTCTTTTAAAATTTACCTTGAAAATGATGTAATCGTGGGACAACGTGGCATTTTAAGGAACTGTATGAGAGTTTCTTAAAATTGTACCATATATTCTGCTGTGTAAAATGTACACGGAGAGAATTTTCCCTTAAAATTTATCCTGAAAATCACGTAATCGTGGGACAACGCGGCATTTTGAAGAACTTTATGAGAGTCTGTTGAAATTGTACCATATATTCTACTAGTAAAATGTACACGGAGAGAATTTTCTCTTAAAATTTATCCTGAAAATCACGTAATCGTGGGACAACGTGGCATTTTGAAGAACTTTACGAGAGTCTTTTGAAATTTTACCCTACATTTTACTGGTAAAATGCACACTAATTTTAATTACTAGTGAAATGTGTGTACGGTAAAATTTCTAAAAACTCTCATAAAATTCTTCGAAATGCCGTGTTATCCCGCGATGAAATAATTTTCGGGATAAATTATAAAAGAAAATTTTCTCCGTGCAAGTACTCGAACGTGAATCAGAATACAAAAGCCGTTGACATAAATTTAATCTCACACAAGCAGTTGGGGAAATAAAATTTCACGGAAAATTTGATTGAAATAATTAACATTTTTACAAGTCACCGTCAATTAGTTTTATTGGTATCACCATCTAGTCGAACGTCAGCAACTTCCTCGACGAACTACACATCATCCTCGAGATCTTTGGAGAGGGGCGGGGGAGGTCGTTTTTATTCACGATAATAAATCAAACCGACTCTGTGTGTCTCCCAACTCTGTCTCGATAAAAATTCGACGATTCGCGCGAAATTCAGGCGATAATTAACGAGCGCCACCGACGCGTACATTTGTTGCAGTTTTTTTTTCGGTTAAAATTGCGGCCGCAATAAAAAAAAAGAGATCGTACCTTCGAAACGCAACCGCGAATGTTACAGGGTAATAGCCGCGAGGAGAGGAGGGTGGAGTGGGGTGCACTTGGTGGTCGGAGTAATTAATAATCAAGAGATCCGCGCCTGGCAAGGGACAAAGCGGCTCTAACGGATATGCAGCTCGCACGGAAAATTCGACAATTAATATATTTCGTGGGGTGCGAGCCCACCCCTTTCTCCCTCTCTTGTTCTCTCGCGATTCTGTGCTGATGTATAGTCGCGAATGTGGGCCACAATCTCACTATCTCTCTCTTTCTCTCCCTCCCCCCTTTCTCTCTCTCTCGATATGGCCCTGCTCGCCCTTTTGTGACGGGTTGCGATAGGGGAGGTTGCAGTAAAATCGTTCATGAATTTTAAACAGGCACCTCTGAATCGAGCCACGATCATTTCTCATTTTTCTGCCGGCACGTCGGAGGCGCAAGAAGGACGAGCGTGTCCGAACACGAGAATCAAAGAGAGAGAGAGAGAGAGAAAGAGAGAATGACGGTGACAGACAGCGCCGAGAACCGCTGCGATTATATGATGAGTAATGTTTTTTAATTCCCCCACTTTCGGGCTAGGGTTGGCCGGCGATTTTCGAGAGCAGCCACTCTAAAACACCCTTAATTGCCCGTTGGCTTTTTATAGTCGTCCGCTAGGAGCTAGGGGGGGCCGGAAGTAACGGGGGACTCGAAGGGGGAGAGACGGGAAGAAAGAAGGAGAAGAGTCATTGATTTATCGCTCCTGAGGTGCTCGAGGGGCTGCTTGATCTCGCTCGACTGAAACGAGAAAAGAGGATGAGAGAAGGGTTGCAGATTGGCGAAGAAACTGTAACGATCGCTTCCATCACGCTTCCATCCTAATGATCGTGCAGCTCTCCGGATCCGTGGCCGCGCTGGAAAAAGTTTCTCGTCCTTTCTTACGACACGGCGAACTCCTGAAAATCGATCGCATCCGAGCGACGCCTTCCCCGTCGTCATTGTTGGGT